TCAAAAAAAAAAAAAAATAGTAAAAACAAACAAATAAAAAAACCCAAGAATTCTCAGCCTAAAAATCTTCAATTACATAGTCTTCATACAGCTTCTTTATGGTCCTTAGCAGTAGTCTGGCATGATTGTTTATTCACTCAACAAACATACATATATCTACATGCATGTATTTATGCATAACAAGTATATATGTACATAACTACATATACACACACACACATATATGTATACACATAGAGAGGGACAGAAAGATCTCTATAAGATGCCTATTACATCTACTATGTACCCAGAACCATTGTAACCCTGACAATACAGCCAAGATATAGACCCTGCCACTATTAGAGTTGCCTTTCTGGCAGAGGAGACAAACAATTACCTCATAAATAATCCTGCTAATGATCATTACAAGTAAAGGAAAGGAAATGAACAGAGAGTTGTGATAGCTGGAAAAGGCCATATTTCCCAAGGAGCATAACATTCTCCTTATTGCCTGAGAACATGGCTCTTAAGATGAATTTCAGTCAAGAAGAAATGAGAACTTCCGATCAGAACAGGCCAGTGAAGGCTCGGCGCCTATAGCTCAACCGGCTAAGGCACCAGCCACGTACACCTAAGGTGGCAGGTTCGAATCCCCAGCCCAGACCCGCCAAACAACAATGATGGCTGCAACCAAAAAATAGCTGGGCATTGTGGCAAGCACCTGTGGTCCCAGCTACTTGGGAGGCGGAGGCAGGAGACTCGCTTGAGTGAGCTGTAATGCCACGGCACTCTACCCAGGGGGACAGCTTGAGGCTCTGTCTCAAAAAAAAAAAAAAAGAACAGGCCAGTGAAAAGCCATCTTTTATTTTTTGTTTGATAGTTGGCAATTGAGCATTGTTGATTGAGAGTGACCCAGAACTACCAAGGTTCAAGTCCAGGCTCTATTACCTAGCCATTTATTATCTTCATCAACTTACTGGCCTACCTTCTCTCAGTTTCCTTCTTTGTAAAGCAGAGATAATAGTAGCACACGTGACATAGAAGTGGTACAGGGATGAGATGAGGTAATATGCAAAGCATTTAAACAGAGCTCCTGGGCAGGGTTACTCCATGGTTGCTGGAGACAGAAGCAAACACTATATGTGAAAATCCACAAGAAAGCCCCTCATTTTTTGCCTGGTGCTTTACTGATTCCTACTGCTCTTGGGTTATTGTGAAACATATACACTAATGTTTTATGATGATTCCTGGATGAAGAAAGAAACAGAAACATAACACAAAACATGAATATGTAGGTAGTTGGGGCTGAAGATAGAGAAAAGGCTGGAGAAGTTGGAGAGGGAAGCTCTGCTTAATATGCATAGCATCAGACTACCCAGGATGGACTTACTGTAGTTTTGCAAGGAAGCTTTGTCTGTTGCACCAGGAATAAAGAACTTGCCATCACTTCATTTTATTTTATTTGAGTGCTCTCAAGGCTCAGCAATATTACTGAATAGCCTCACTTATTAAGCTTCCCTGGTTCACGAAAAGAAAAAGAATTTGTCTTCATGATGCACACACCCACGTGGGACTGTCGCACGGGGAGTTGTAAACCTGACTCTCCATCGCCACCTTGTGGTATAATGTACATAGTTCAGTGGCAGATGGCAAAAAACAAAGTTAACAGTTGAAAAGTTGAAGTAACTGTAGACCACAGGAATTAGGGGCAAGGTTTTGTGTACTACACTAAGAGACTAAAACAATCTGCACTAGATTTTAAGATCCCATATTTTAGGATTAGGGCATGGTTCAATAATTCCAGACGCACAACACCAAAGTCCATGAAAGGAAGTAAATTGTAACCCTACGTTAGAATATACCTCATATGTTACATAGAAAGAACAGTATGTATATGTGGGGGGGGGGATTCTTCCTTTTTTTTTTTTGAGACCTTTGAGTCTCACTTTGTCACCCTGGGTAGAGTGTCATGGCATCATAGCTCATGGCAACCTCAAATTCCTGGACTCGAGCAATCCTCTTGCCTCAGTCGCCTAAGTATCTGGGACTACAAGTGTGCAGTACAACTCCTGACTTATTTTCCTATTTTTAGTAGAGATGGGATCTTAGTGTTGCTCAGGCTGGTCTCGAACTCCTGAACACAAGGGATCCTCCCTCCTCAGCCTCACAGAGTGCTAAGATTATAGGTATGAGCCACTGTGCCCAACCTCATGGAAGACTCTTCATGAGTCAATTGCTTCCATTGTCCAGAAGTGGACTAAAGAAAATTTACATCTAGACTAGGTATAGTGACTCATGCCTCTAATCTCAGCAGTCTAGGAGGCTGACAAGAGTGGATTGCTTGAACTCAGGAGTTTGAGGTTGCTGTGATATCATGGCATTCTACCCAGGGTAACAGAGTAAAACTCTATCTTAATAAAAAAAAAAAAAAGAAGGCTTGGTGCCTTTGGCTCAAGCAGCTAAGGCATCAGCCACATACACCTGAGC